AGAAAGGCAGTCTTATGAACACGTCTTTCTTTTCTGCGGTTAAGGTGGCAGGAATATTGGCGAGCGCGCCAAAAAACCTGCCATCTTTACCACAGAAAAGACCGACTCCCTTTGAAGGCCACATCGATGTGCATTTACTCTTTAACCTTCTCCTGTGGAACGGGATACATCGGCCGAACAACGAGGCGTCTGGAAAAGAGGGTACGTGAGCACATACCGGCCTGGCTAAGTAAGGGTGAAACTAGATCGACCTAGAGTTCTATTCTCGCACATCTTGTCGATACGAACCATCGAGTCTATAATAACGAAGCCTTTAAGGTTGTCTACAGGACATCATTTAACTTTTCTAAAGGCCTACGCCAACGGAGGCTAGCAACAGCCGAAGCAGTAGCTATAAGGCTAGCAAATCCAGTGCTGTGTTGTCAGAAGACTCTGACACAAGCCTTTACACTTCAGTGGCCTAAACCGACACCAGGTGTCGACAGCATTTCGCCCCTATCAACTAGCGGCAGTCTCTCAACAGAGGTGACGATAGGATTTCGCCCCTACCGACTAGCGACAATCCCTCTACCAATCACACTGACATGGCCTACATGCGCAAACTGACCAGTCCGCGGTGGCCAATCAGCGCCCGTGTTAGACAGTTATTGATTTTTCTACATATTCAAATTTTAATTGTTATGTACAGCGTTCAGTTCCCTTGCAAACGTTTGGTCTGATGACAAGTTGTTAAAAACAATTGTTTACCATAAACTGACGTTCAATATTATCCATGGGAATATTCACGGTACTTACCAGAGTTTTTTGGCCCAGACCGCGGCATTCAGCTGTCTTGAGAAGTCAAGTTGGTGAACTCAGTGTTTTCAGCAACTCTTTATCAGGCCAAAAATTTGCAGGGGTAAAAAAAAAACTGTACAGTTGGACGGGATTAATAAATGTAATCTGATTACAATTCGTCTTTTACGCGTCGCCCACATGGCGGGGTCCGCATGTTGGGGAAGGGGGAGGGGGGGCAGGGATAGAATTGGGTTAGGTTGTGGGCGTTAATCACAGGTGGGATACACGGATGTATAATTGCTACAATTCGCACGAAGCGATCGACTGTCACTAGGGGGTGAGGGCGCAATGCAATCTTCACCTGGCATCGGGGTCGGCCACGGAAATGCAAGGGTTTCTGTCAGCGTCTTCTGACAACACAGCGCTAGTTTAGCTAGCCGTGTAGACACTGCTTCAGCTGTTGCAAGCACCCGTTGGCGTAGGCCCTTGGAAAAGTAAGCTGGTGTCCGTGTGACAACCTGAAAGGCTTCGTTATTATCGACTCGATGATTCTTATCGACAAGATATACGAGAATAGAACTCGAGATTGATCTAGTTTCACCTTTACTGAAGCAGGGCGGTATGTGCTCACGTACCCTCCTTTTCAGGTGCCTCGTTATTCGGCCGATATATCCCGCTCCACAGGAGCAAGTGAAATAGTAAATGCACATGGATGCGGCCTTCAACAGGAATCAGTCTTAACTCCCAATCGTAGGAGGGGAGAGT